CACAGCCCTGAGTTATCAACAAAGTCTGTCTTATGGCAACAGAATTTACAATGTGCCATGGGCCACTTGCCTGGCTGGTGCCAGGTACCTCTCACTGACAAACACCACGTATCGAACACAGTGGCATAGTCTGAACAGATCGTCTCTACATGTATGCATGTTTGAAGTGAAGAAACCAAATTCACAATTTATGTGAAGAAATCAAATTCACAACTTGCGTGTTGGATTGTGTGCAGCTCTGAAATTACCTATGGGATTGTAAGTCATTTAGCAGTGAAAGTTCTTGAAACTTTAGCTGACAGAGGTGGCGCAAGCCAATTTCCACCACGAACAGCTCCACTAAAACCTGCTGTGCAAGAACTATAAAACATATTTAAGTGACATCGGAAAGAAGCATGTGTGGACAGTTTGAGGCCAATAGATACTCTATTTTTACTTTTTTTTGTGCATGTCAGTTGCAGGTATTTCTACTTTTTTGCCTTGGAGGTTTTTAAATCTATGCAGATTAATCTTTGGGAAAGATTTTAGTTATTTAAGCATCCTGTCCAAAGATTGTGGAAGTAAATTACAAGATTCGCCCACTTTCTCCAGAAAGTTTTGGACTATGGCTGCAGCAGTTTCATGTTTTATACTAGCTTACATAATAGTGAAAAGTGCAGAATCAGTTTTCAGTGCTGGCCATAATGTGCCTGCACTAGCACAAAAATAAAGACTGTACGACACCCCAAGAGTTAATGCTCTCAGTTTTCAAAGATGTAAATGACCAGAGAGCTCAGTCCCACCACTCCAAGTCAGTGGGGAAAAGAACACCTAATTCCCATTAGCAGCTTTGAAAACCTCTTTGTAGGAAGAAAGAGCAAACCGAGAGAGAAGGGAAAACAATAAATAAGAACAGATGGTAACGGATTGTGTCTGGTAATTTAGGACTTCATTTTCATGTATACAGTGGCCTCTTGACCACTTCTGCAGTGTAAAGGGATTTCCACACAAATCATGGCGAGATTCACATAATATGTCTGTTCTGTATTGTATCTGTAATTCTGCACTTCAGTATTGTAGTAAAATGAACTTTTAAAGGCACTTCTGCCTGAGTAACTGCTGTAATAATACCGTGATCAATTTGAAAAACTTTGTACATACATTTAATTCCCTTCAAGGTTATTTTAAGAAATAACATGGGTTTCAGTAAACTTTCTTGCACCTATATGTAGGTTGCTATTAATTTAAGGTGGTTTCATTGCTTGATTTTGTGAAATGGAAGCTATTTGGAACTGTTTTACTCTGTAGGTAAAATAATTGTAATAAACCAGTCCTTTGTTGCTGTTTTACTAAAACACCTATTTTAAGTTGCTGAAAAATAGCAAGATACTAAAAATCACTTGGAGTTTTCTTATCTGTGGAATGTTCCAGTGTTTAAAATTAAAATAAAAGCCTTATATATGTGCATGTGTGGGTGCGTGTTCATATATTTATGCATATGCATATGTATGTATGTGTGGAGATATATCTAGTTGGAGATATTTGTAGTTAGGTCTGATTAAAATAGTTTTAAATTATTATTGGCTTTCTTCCTCACTCTTGATAGAGACATTAATTTATAAAATGAAACAGTTTCAGGCACTGCTTTGAAGTATTCTTAATCACAAAATGATATGTCTAGACTCAGATGTAGCTGCCTCTTAAACTCTTATATAAGTGTCCCACCCTAGGTAATTCTTTACCCTCCTAAAACCCCTTTTTTTCATGCATTACTCTAACTTACTGCTCTATTAATATGGGCATTCTACACATATTGCACAATGACATACATCTAGAAATACTCCACATGAGACTGAGTCTTGGACTCAGTCATACTGATAAATATCTGCAGTTATTTTGAATTTATAATAAAGAATTTGACTTAATGGTGTTGTACAAGTTCATGCAGAGCAACTTGCTGATAATCAAGCAGCTGAAGCATATTTCTTTCTTAGTGGGAGTTCCATCATATGCACTTTAAGAGAAAATTAGGCCTGAAAGGCCCATCATTTTCACAAATAAAAGGTCTTGCTCAAAACTAAACTTTTCAAGAGCTTGAACAGTTCAGTTTTCAAATTACTGCAAGGTTTTCCAAAATTTTTAGAGGAACACGCACCTCAAAAATACAGCATAGTTTCAATATGTTGTACTTCAGTGATCAAACTCTTTAGTTAAGGATAAATACCAGGCATAATCATCAGGATTACAAGAATGCTGATAGCAGAGGTGTCTAATCTTGGTTGGAAGAGTGAATCAGATTCAGCTTAGAAGGTCAGAACTTGCTGAACAGACCTGGCTTATCCATCCTTGCTTTGGAGTCAAAACAATTGGTTTAACTGTCTTAATAAAATCTCTGTTCTTTTGTGGTAAAGACTTACCAGTATTGCCAAACCAGGCACCTAGGACATAACATCTAAGCTAAAACTCAGTGGATCAATTGTTAGCTTTTATCAGATTTTTGAGGCAGACCTCTAATAAAGGGATTAGTAACACTTATTTCAACACTAAAAAACCCTAAAAAATGCATTTTAAGCTCCTGTTCTTGTATTTCAAAGAGCAGATAGATATTACTAAGATGCATTTTAATTTCATGGAAACATTGCTTTGGTATAAAGGTCATGTATTATCTTATTTTTACAATGTCTGCATTATGGGCCAAGTTATATTTTGCAATAGTCCCCTTCAGCTAAGCAACAGAAACAAAACACAGAATTCCCAGGTAAGCTGGGAATAAAAATCATGTGGCAATGCCTGGATGGGCAAAATAATTTTCATATGTACAATCATTGCTCAGAAATGAACATATAAGAGCACGGGAACTACAATGGCTGTTACCCTTTACTTCAAAATTTAATATCCAGTTCCCTTTCCATTGTCTATATTTTTTTCTATGCAATACTAGACTGAATTGTATTACATGCCTCTAAACACTGAAGAATCTCTCAGCACAATGGGTTTGAATCTGCATTAAGAAGAGGTAATCAGTTGCCTCACCTCTTCAAAGACTTCAGTTTTCTATGCTTCTTTGAAAAGTCAATACAAACTGGAGGGTTTCATAAAACAGCATCACAATTAATGAGAAATGGAAATGATTGGCTTGTGTGAAACGAATGGAGGAGCTGACTGTATATGTAAAACAAAACATAGTAAAGAAATAAATATTTTTATGATACTACCAGCAATGAAGGATTGGAATTACTTAATTTGGAACAGAGGGTTATAAGGATAACGGCTTAATATTTCCAGTGGAAAAAGTAGGCCCAGCACAAGAATAAGGTAAGAACACTTTCAAAGGTCTTTATCAGGAAGATGAAGTAGACTGCGGAACAGTTTCTCAAGCAGCGATGCAAGTGTCACTATTTGGGTCATCTAACTTTGGACCATAAAATGAAAGAGTGAAGGTAACTTGGCTTAATGTATTAGAATTTCCTTCCAGGAAAAGCCCAAACTTCTGTTTTTCTTTTCTTTAATGGCTGGAGAGAAACCAACCATTGGGTTGAAAGTTTTTAGTAGGGTTATTACAGCTGACAGATTGGACAAGCAAACACAAACATGATGCAAAAATCCACAAACAGGGTCTTTGTGACGTGATTCACTTCATACACACTTGATACTGTTAACACTTGTTGTGTGACATCTCTCCTTGTTATGTCCATATCTGTATGTTATTTGAAAGCTGCACCAAGAGCAATACAGATAATGATAACCAAAGACAAGAAGTAAAGGAAGAGAAAGAATTAAAAGAAATAGTGCTTTCTAAACACAAATGCTACCACTAATAAAAATAAGACAAGAAAGGAAAATCTGCTTGCAAATAGGGTATTGTTCAAAGTTAGCAGTACAAAATGGTTTTAATTTCTTGGTTTTTTTTTCATAGATGCCGGCTGGAAAGACCAGGTGGCAAAATTCAAATGAGCGATAGCAAGGACAGCAAAAGTTGTCAGTGCAATACCCACCTAAATTGCAGAGGACTGTACACATTTCATAGCTTAAAATAGACCATGTCTTTGCAAGAAGGGCAGCACCATGAATTTGCATATCTTACATGGGTTTTATGGTGTGTTAGCAGCTAAACATGCTATAAATAAAGGAGGCCTTCAGTTTTAAAAACTTATAAACCATGTTTCATAAGAGGCTGGATGCCCAGACAATTCTTTTAATCAACTTTTAGAGGTACTCATGCAAATGCAGGTGCCAGCTTTTTCCCACAAGATCTATGGTGCATCAGCTACAGAGTCTCCATCACTCCTCAGGAACCTAAATTTTCTTTTAAGCCTGGGCCATTATAACTAGGGTCACTGCCAAATCCAGGCCTCATGAATGCACAATACTTTTCACTTTTGGTTAGTCACCATCGCTTCAAACCAGCATTCCTCTTTTGATGTTGTGCTTGATTAGCTAGTTTTCTCAGTGTACTTTTTCCCCTCAGTGAACGTACTAGATAGCGTAACTAAGCTTTTTGCAAGATTCTGCATTTTACAGTCAGCCTTCAGGGATGCTAAATTTAAGAGTAAGGAAACAGTAATTAAAAGTGATTAGGACAAGAAGCCTTGATACTATGAAATGTGGACTCAATTGTCCTTGACACAGGCAGAACAAGGCAGCAGGTTTTGGTTTTGATTATAGCTTTACTTGCGATTTTAATAAACATGAGCCAGTATTCAAACTTTTAATATCCTGCTGCTTAACTATTTCCAAAAAGCAATCCAGCTCTTTTAAACAGCCCTTGTTTAAAAATTTTAATTTGTTTGGCTCTGTCTCTGCTTAGAGAAGTTGTAGCCTCACGGTAACTCTTTTATAAGTTCATTTCCAGAATCACAAGCAATTGGTTTTTTTCAACTAAGTGTTTCCGCATGTGCCAAAAGTGTCAGGCTGACAGCTTTCCTGCACCGTTTTATCTGGTTCCCACAGTAAGTATGAGAGACAAACACAGGAATGTGTCTAGTGCTGACTATGCCCATCAAGGATACAATGATACTTACAGCTCTTCCAGGAAGCGGAGATTGTGCACAGGGTTTGAGGGCAGCTTAGTAATGTTGTTCATACTGAGATCACTGTAGGGGAAAACAGACAGAGACTTAATATGGCATGCCACAACTGTGGTATCCAGCTGTTCATTCCACACATTTTTAAGTACTACATTAACAAAAATTAGTTCCTCTGCCAGAACTGATGAATCATTATCTAGTTAGCACGTTAAACATTCTTTCATATGAACACAGCTTTGTCAAACCAAATACAGGCTGTAGCATGTTCCTTGTTTCCAAAGATTTTGGAATGTTTTATCATGCTCTATAAATCAGCTGGAACACTAAACAACCCTTTTAGTCTACATAATTTTAATAAACCGCTGTACTGTATTAAAATTTACTTGGAGTAGTAAAGGAAAACTACTACGATTTTTGTTGTTGTTGTAGCACTGTAGCACACTTGGTATACTGAAGTAGACAAGCAAAAGCGTACAGATATAAACTATCATCTGCATCATTCTTTACTTTTCATGAATATGGGAACATTTTGCTTTTGCTGTACAACCTGCTGCACAGTCGTACTGATTTGCCTTGCCTTACATTAGGCTCATCAGGTGTCCCCAACCCCCAACTTACTTGAGTCAAAGAAATGACATATTTTCAAATAATAAACATCCCCTTTTTAGAGTGCTCTTTTTTTGCAGGTTCTCAAATTGCATTAAATAAGTGAAATGAACCATAAAACAAGGGTGTAATGTGATCCTGCTCTGTAGCACACTTCCTGGTGGGGTTCCACGGTAGTTCCTGGCACAGGAAACAACCAGCCATATCAGCTCTGTCAGAGCTCATTCAAGCTATGTTTTAGACTAAATTTTATAAAATACCTTTTTATTCTTAACATGCTTTCTCATTGTTTTCCATTGTCTTCCCCATGCCCCACAGTACCATTATAATTGCTTTGCATTAAGTATAAAAACTGTAAACAGACCGCATAATAAAATTCTGTGTGGAAGATACGACTTATGCAACTACATCAAAATTCCTGTAGAGAGTTAAATAAAAATATTGGATGCCTGCATATTTTATGCAAACATTATGTGATAATTTAAAACTCCTCACTATTTAAACATATATATATATATATATTTGTAGAGGCCCTTATAGTTTCCAGCTACTTCAGGCAGTATTTAGATAACTTTATTTCTTCCAGCTGTTGAGAGCTTACAAGGTAAGTAAGTATCTGTACTTTGGTGGGTAGACATCCTATTCCTATTCCATCTACTTCTTATTACCCACAGTCTGTTTCACATTACAGAATATATGCTTTTAGTCAGCATAGTTAATTTTGATGTTTGATCTTTTGCTGAATTTTAGAATGTATAATCTAAAAACATACTTCACGTAGAGATTTTGAAATAAAGGAAATGTGTTAATACTTTACAACAATTATCAAATCACTGTTGGGTAAGGTCTCTGCATTCACTTCAAAATCAAGGTATAATCTGAGAACTGTGTACTTACTAAATTCATTCTTTACTGTAATACTTTATCACCCAATTCTTTCATACTGTTTAGCAGGTTATTACCCTTTCACTTTGATAAAGGCTCAAAGGATTTATTCTGGCAAAGGAACAAAAACATGGATTTATTTGGTAAAAGAAAAACTCATCCAGGTAGTGAATCATATACTACTGAATATTAAGATAAACCCAATATTTTAACAATATCATTTTGATTGTGAGATTTTCAACACATGTCTTAATGGGTTTTTGTAAACATACCAAAACACATTTTAGACTTAAAAAGCCAGAAGATGGGAGTGAATCATCTTATGACAGACAGACATATATTTAGGGCATTCTACAAAACCAGCATTAACCAGTGCTCTGCCTGACCAGGGAACCTGAAGCCTGTTCTTCTAGCGTATTAATTTCTATCAGTGGTAGGCAGTACTTGTCTGCTTGTATCACCCACAGGACCCCATGATGACCCTGTCACAAGCAATCTACAGACCAGACCCTAATATCTTGAGAAGATCAGAATAAAAGAAGGTGGCTTTCATTACGTGCTTTGATGCACAATGAGAAAATAAATAATACATGCACTTTTCTTAAAAACATCTTTAGACCCCAGAGGTGGATTTACCAACAGCGAACTACAATGTCCTGGTCTCCTTTTTGGACTCCACTCATGTGGTAAAGTATGTGCTCCACATCAAATGATGGAGAAGAACCTCTTCTTTTTCCCAATCTACACTGCAGCAATTGCTAGCTCTTTTCAAACCTACCAGTTAAATAGTCTCATTCTGTTACATAGGCTCCTTTTTTCCCAGATTATTCTTTTCTTGGAACATAAAGTACAAAGATGTTTTTGTGCAACAGAACAACTAAACATTACCTATGCATATTTCATAGAATCACAGAATCATTTAGGGTGGAAAAGACCCTTAAGATTGAGTCCAACTATTAACCTAACACTACCAAATCCACCACTAAACCATGTCCATAAGTGCCATGCCTACACGTCTTTTAAATACCTCCAGGGATGGTGGAGGTAACAGAAATTATTTCCAAATTTGCTCAATAACGTCTTTCCAAACTAGTTTTTAACAGCCTAGTAACTAATACACAGGCCATCCCAGTCTATACTGGTGATGTGCTATTGTTGTAGCTATAAGGGTTTAAGAATATAAGGGAGACTACTACTACAGGATGAGGTAAAATCTTTGATTAGGCTAGCTGATACAGCTGGAAAAACTGAGAAACTTTCAGGCACAAAAATAAAAAAACTCTACTTCTTCCAACTGTACCAGTTGGCTAAATAGGCGACATTATTTCTCCCTAAAAATGTCACACGGCTTACACTGGCAAAGCAGTAGTTCATCTGTGCTTACAGTTTTTAGATTCAGAATACTCTTTTGGGTCAGAATTGCCATGGATGCATTTAATCCAATTTTTGTTCACTGAAGTAACTAAGGGACTTATGAGAGAAATCCCATGACCCAGAGCTACTTCTGCGGGGATGTTCAGAGAAGTGAGACAAACAAAAAGAGTTAACGCAATGCAATCAGTCATTGGGTCTCATGTGAGCAATACTGCAAAGCTTGGGCTGCTGAGCAGAAATTCCTCACAGTGCTCCAGAGACAAATAAAGGAGGTTCTCAGCAAACTTGCCAGCCTTTGGACCATATTGCCAAGAAGACATAGCTAGGATGAGATTTATGGCCATTACCTAGATCAAGCACAGCTAACAGCCAGAAAGAGCTAGCTGGTAGATTGTAGGCTTACATATTATTACTATGAAAACCAGTAACAATCGTAATGGGTGTGTCTTATGCCCGGCACCTGCAAGGCTTTCTTTCCAAAAAGTGCATCAAATGGGTTTTCTGATTTCTCCTTTCAGTGCTAGCCTGTCAAAATCAGCAATCTGCTCTCTAGAAAAGAGAAGGGGATGAAAGATGGCTTGCACATCACGATTTGTAGTGTAATGCTGAAAAATATTAAAATCAAGGTACTAGATCTTTAACTATCCTCAGTGGAATGGTTCTGATTTTATAACAGATCCATTCCCCAATTTCCTTTGTGTGCCTGTGCAGGTATACTCAAAACCAAACCAGCTGAAACTGCAAACATTTCTTGTCAAACTTGGTAGATCTTACAAGCTACAGTGACAAAAAATCTAAAATTATTAGAATACTGAAAATCTTTAAATATGTTAGTGTAACAGAACTACTCCTATATCCCACCACCAAAGCACATGCAAACCCCACCGATGTCAGTAGGAGCGGCATTGTAATAGTATACTGTGAGTTTTAAAATGCTCCTAATGTAAACAGCGATATTACCAGATCTAACTTTATGAAAACTACCTGCACCATGAGCTGATGTACTGTACTGGAAAGGCGATACGTTATTTCAAACAGTCAGATGAACACATCGTCTGTTCTCCCATCAGCATTCTTGCAGCCTGCTTCCAACTGCTGACTATAAAAGCAACATACCAGCAGATGAAACGTTTATCTTTTCAAGAGATAAAAACTTTTGCTTCAATGACTGCATTGGCAACACGGCTCACTATAATGATATCTTAATTATACTCTGTGCCAATCAATCACCACATTATGTCTCTGGTGACTTGCAAAAGGAATCCTATCTATGATGAAATCTTTGAAGAGCGGAAAATATTGCAAGCTGCACCATGCATCTATCTGTTTTTTCTTGGTGACTATATGGGCAAATTCTGAGTATTTGCAAAACAGAGTCCAAGAAGGCAAATACAACAGGTCTCTCCCCCCCCCACCCCGTTTTGTTGCCCATGCATATGCATGCTGAAAAAATATCCAGTTACCATCTTAAAAGTGAGTAGTTCACAATGAATTCCCAAAAGCCAGTAAAACAAGTTAAGTGAACTAGTTCTTAACATATAATAGATGAGTCTGGAGGCCAAATTACTAACCTGTTATTAGCTGTTATTACAAGAGATGTTTCAGTGACTATTCATCTTGGAAGATCAGTTTTCCATGTTATATTTATGTCTTTTAAAGGAGAACAAAAATCTGTCTTGGGATATATGCAAGGCTTCCATTGGCTTCCACCAACCTGTTAACCTACTACTAGGCTAAACTATTATACTGAATGGTACAAACTTGTCTACCCATTGCAGGGCTAATACAATAATCCAATATTAAAGACAATGAATTTTGTAGCCTATCTTTTTTTTAACATTTGCAACCTGTTTGATTTTTGGAAAATGATCAAGACTTATTATTAGCATTATTAATTACGATTCCTCTAGGCCTGCCTTAGCCCAACAAGGTGTTTTAATGATTATATTTATGGAAGTCTTTGAAAGAGAAAGGACTCACATAAAAATACTGACAATAGACTGAATGCACTCCCTGAGTTCTTACCAGCTGAGAACAGCTCCTAAACCAAAACAATTTCCTTAATCCATTTACAGCAAAATTTTATACTATCTTATATGCAGTAATACAAAATAATGAAAAGGGGTGAGAATTAATACTGCTTTTCCCTTGCTATGTCTATCTTTTTAATACAGCACTCATTTCTACTGTTGGCAGAATACTTTATTAGATCCACTGT